GTTATGGGGAGGGTCCCATAACCTAACATGCATATCTTTGGCCTGTGGGAGCCAGAGTACCCCGAAGGAACTCATACAGGCACAGCAAGAACATGCAAACACAACACAGAAAGTCTCCAGACACTTTTTGAACCCAGAACCTTTTGCTGTGAGGCCGCAGCGATAACCACTGCATCACTGTGCCAAAATCTTTATCCTGCTCATTGTGACGGTTCAGCTTTTTACATTACCTTCATTTCATACAGGCCCATATTGGCTTGTATAAAGTAAGGTAAGAGCAATATGTTTATTCTGTAAAATAAACCTGTGTAATTTATTTATTTATTTTACAAAAACAGGAACCTTCTGTAGACTTTTTCAGACTGTGTCCGTCTTTGAGGTTACAAAAAGCAGGATTACTTATATAACACAACATACCTAAATGTTGTATTAACATTTAAAATCTCTTATTTATTTACTATCGTGAATGACCAACGATACGAGCCAGACTTTTGTGTTATTTTTTTTAATAAAGTGGTCTTCTGCAATGCACACACACAGCAGATGAACAGAATGTCCTTAGGAAATATCCAGGAAAAAAAATCCAGGAACAACCTGACACAGGACCTGAGAGATGACAAGCCCTTCAGTTTATCCAGGTACTGTTCACTGAAGCCTCAGGAAGACATTCTTAAGGAGAGGAAACTGCTTAAGAAAGGTGTCTAGAGTTTCTAGAGCCATTTGTAAAACATGGTAGAGGTTGTGTCATGATTTGCGGCTGCATTTCAGCCGGTGGCATTTTGTCGAAATTGATGGAATTATGAACATAGAAAAGTACCATCAGAGTTTAATCCACCATTCAGTATCATCTGGAAAGCATCTGATAGGCAACAGCTTAATGCATGACAGTCATAAGCATGACAATGATACCAAACACACTGTCATGCAGTAAAATCATACCTGGATAGAACGAACACAAACTCAAACACTATCAGGATGGATCGGCCTCCAAAAGCATGACTGACATTTCTGTTCTCTGGCTGCTTTTTGCCCATGTGTGGTTAGAGGAAGTGGGGCGAGGAAACACAGAAGCTTCTAAGTGGCTCTATTTTTGCCTCACTGTTTGTTGTTTTTGTCAATTTGAGAAGTTTCTGAGAAATACGTCCACACCTATGCTGTAATCGCTCTTCATCTCCAATGCAGCACCATCAACATCTCAACATTCCCATACCTGCTGCACATGGCCATTTGATGCTGATCTCTTGTTTGTTTTTTCCTTTTGCCCTCTGAACCACAGAGGACCTGAAGCTCAAGTCTTTATTTAGCCGATAGCTTGTTTTTTTTCACTTTGCTCATTAAAGGTAGACTAAAGTTGGGTGTCAAATGGGGACAGTATCCGGCTTATTGTTCTGCATTTAGGTGAGAGGCGTGGACAGGCCTCGCCACCTTTCACCTTCTCGAGCAGGGGTCTGGGAATGGCATTCGTGTGGGAAGGGGTTTAACCTGCTGATTGGTCAGCTGCCTGTAATCGTGTATGATAGGATTTGAAGC